TAACTGTCTACTTTGGGGAAATCTACTTGGCCCTACAGGATTCTATTAATAGAATTTAACTGTCTACTTTGGGTAAATCTACTTGGCCCTACAGGATTCTATTAATAGAATTTAACTGTCAACTTTGGGTAAATCTACTTGGCCCAACTGCATTCTATTAATAGAATTTAACTGTCAACTTTGGGTAAATCTACTTGACCCTACAGGATTTTATTAATAGAATTTAACTGTCAACTTTGGGTAAATCTACTTGGCCCTACAGGATTCTATTAATAGAATTTAACTGTCTACTTTGGGGAAATCTACTTGGCCCTACAGGATTCTATTAATAGAATTTAACTGTCTACTTTGGGTAAATCTACTTGGCCCTACAGGATTCTATTGATAGAATTTAACTGTCTACTTTGGGTAAATCTACTTGGCCGTACAGGATTCTATTAATAGAATTTAACTGTCAACTTTGGGTAAATCTACTTGGCCCTACAGGATTCTATTAATATAATTTAACTGTCTACTTTGGGTAAAGCTACTTGGGCCTACTAGATTCTATTAATAGAATTTAACTGTCTACTTTAGGTAAATCTACTTGTCTCTACAGGATTCTATTAATAGAATTTAACTGTCTACTTTAGGTAAATCTACTTGTCTCTACAGGATTCTGTTTTATAGAATTTAACTGTCAACTTTGGGTAAATCTACTTGGCCCTACAGGATTCAGTTTTATAGAATTTAACTGTCTACTTTGGGTAAATCTCTGTGCTTTCTTTTTATCGATTACTTTTCTAGACCAAATTCAGTACACTTAATTTTTGGTTGATGCTTAATTTAAACAAGATGTATATGAACATCCTGGAATCCAAGTACACACATATTACTAAACCTTGTCAAATATGTGAAAGAATTATACAAATTTCTACAAAACTGTCCATTTTTGATTAAGAATTACCTGTTATTTACAAAAAAAATAAATATTCAAAACAAAAATATAGACTACAGGTATTCAAGCTTGTGACTAATCTTGTAATTCAATATAGTTGAATACATAAATCATACATGTGTGTGACAGTAAATGGCTGACATAAGAGTGAATGTAACAGGAAAGGATAATAATCATAGATACAAGTGTGAGACTCACCTTCCATGTGATTGGTTGAACTTTGATACATTCTATCCACTTTGTAGTTATCGCCATCTTTGACCACTCCACTGATGGGGTCAACGACATCTAGTAATATTGGTGGTGATATTGTAATCACTGATAGATCAGCATTATTAGTTGCTCTTAAATGTACAAAATATGGACGACTTGGCTGTGGAAAATAAACATTACAATGTTACATAAATAAAATTTTGTTTTGTAAGTACAATGTAACTATTCAGATGATGATCATATGTAAAATGCGGTGGTCATTACGCAGGACGTGTTTGAATTTCATGTAAACAAACAAGGTACTGTACATGTACGTGTATTGTATATGTTGCTATCAGTCCAATATCAAATAGGACACTGCACAATGACCTCTGGCTTTTTAATGCATTGCTGAAAGTGGCTATGGATAGCCAAAATTAATAGTAAAACAAGTCATTGTCAATGACACGTCCCCGTTCCGTTCATATTTGAGTGACATATACATTCAAAGCAGATCATGACCGAAATGCACCTGCATATGTACAACACATTGTGCTAAATCTGAACAAAATCCATCCATGCATAACTGAGATACGGGTCCGGAATGGTGAAAATGTGCGATTTCAATGCATTTTCGGCCTTAAAATGGCCATCATTCCGCTATTGTTAAGCAGATCATGAAACAAATGCACATACATATTTGTGACATGATGTACCTTGTGTGTGTGAAGTTTGAACTCGATCAATCCAAGCATGTCTCAGATACGGATCCAGAACTGAATTCTTTAAAACAAAATGGCCGCCAGTCGGCCATTTCGAACTTGATCCGAAAAAAAAAAATGACGTGCATCAAGGTCCTATTATGTTTAATGTATGTACCAAATTTGAATGAAATCCGTCCATGCATAACTGAGATCCGGGTCCGAAATGGTGAAAATGTGCGATTTCAATGCATTTTCGGCCTTAAAGCGGCCGCCATTTGGCTATCGTTAATGAGATCATGAAACAAATGCACATACATATTTGTGACATGAT